GGCGGGGCCTGGCTCCATCCCCCCTCACCTTGATAAGGATGAAGCAAAAAAAAAATGAATTAATGAAAGAATGAATGAAAAAGTGTTATGCTACAGTCCCCTACTGGTCAGCTGCAGAATTGCTCCCAAAAGGTTCCTCAAAATACGACTCAGAGGGTTTATCTGTGCAGGTTTTGCCCTTGAACAGCAGTTTAAAGTCATGGAGACCAGTTCAAATGAATTGTTTTGTACCAGCGTTGGTTCCTACTGCTATAAAAGGCGGCTGCACTCAAACACAGGTTCGGGGGTTAATTTAGAGACTCTGACAATGAGAATTTATGGGAGCACAGTTCAGGCTCTTACATGGGCTCTGTTCAGTGACCCCTATCTTTCTGCTCCTACACACACTCAGCTGCTGCTGTTGTGCTTTTTTTGCCATGACACAATTTTTTAAAACTCGCCCTGTGAAACCCATTACACCATGATGCACATTTTCCCGGAGAGCAAAAGAACACGGAATGACCCATTTAACCTGGACTTGACCCTGAATTAAACCTTAACTATACAGTTGGACAATTTTTTTTTTCAGAGCAAAAATGTATCCATTGTGTTTGTTTCCAATTCCACTACTGGACAATAGTCCATTGTCCTTGTCCATCACAATTTATACAAAGAATAAATAGACATTTTGACATCAATTCCAAAATCTGTTCTTTTAACCCTTTCGTGACCTGTTTTGTGCTTCTATATGTTCATATCTATGAGTGCACGTTGGCTCGGTCCCTCCAGGTGCTCCATATCAACATAGTGTCATGGACCCTCTGACATGTGGCTGCACATACACACTCATGCAAACGCACACTAAATAGACAGGTGATGAGGGGCAGAGAAAATCCACTGCACAGATTCCCTCCGCCTGTCAATCATGCCTTTCTCCCGTTTTTTTTCTCTCCTCTTCTCCACGTGTCATTACAGACGCCTATAGGCAAAAACACAGACACAAACAAATAGAACTGGGTCATCTGAACCGAGCTGAACAGCGGTGCCTTTGGTGAAGACTTTAAAGGAGTACAGTCTGAATACCAATTGTGCTGCACTGGGTGGGCATGGAAGAGTTTCCCACATTGTACACAGTGTAGTTATAGTGTTGGAGACAGAGCTGTGCTGTGTAATGTGAGGCGTGCACTCGGCCTGTCCATACTGTGAGGTGAAGGTGACGATGTGAATTTGAATTGAACTAGATTTTCAGTAAACCTAAGAAGCCTTGCATTTTCTGCCATAGATGGAAAGAAAAATGATTTTCTGCCATAGATGGAAAGAAAAATGACACACACGTGTCTTTAAGTCTGTATAATTAGAATTGCACCAGTGCTTGTAAACAGATCATTTGAATATGGTAAATAGCAGCACATAATTACTGCCAGTTTCAGCCTTGACTTGTTGTCGTTTCCAGCACTTTTCACACCTCCACTGTTGGTGATGCTGCTTCACGATAGCATTATTTTGTGCAAGGTGTGAGGAACTCCTGACCCTGTGTAGGAAACCTTTGGTTAATGAGACTGTGGTGGAATGGTGCACCGATGTATTGAAAGTAGCTAAAGGTTAGTTTAAAAGCTATATGATAGCCGAATGATACCAAATTAAAGTATCCGTTGAATGACACCACTTATGGCTTTGTGTTCTTTATCTATATCTACTCATCATTTAACTAATACACGTGTTGTGTTTTACTACATACACTGCATCTATTTAACAAAGTTTAAAACACCATCTCAACACTCAGCATGCATTCATGGGGGCTTCACCTTCAAATCAGACCCCTGGTCTGTGTCAGAGCGTTCTCACCAAGTGATGGCAGTTGAGGACGTTTGGGTTGACAGGCTGACTGACACAAATGTCAAATGTATTGGAGGGTGAGTGTAGGGGTTGAGGGGAAGACGGGGGGGACTGTAGACCGATTAGTATTCATTCATTTTTTTTCCCACGACAACAGTTTCACTGACGTTTTGAAAGTGACTCTCTACACTCTACAAGCCACGCTCAAGATGTGCATTTTGACTAATATTAATTTCCAGGTTTTAGTTGACGTTTTTCCATATTGTTAGTAATATTCAGTTATTTGGATTATTACCAAAAGTGGTGACACCCAGAGCAAAAATTTAAATTCAAGACACAGGCAGTTATCTGTTGAAGAATGGCTCCAGAATATTTATCAAACTCACACCTGTTGCAGTGAACTTGTAATATGGCGTCTGTTCATTTATTCATGCTCCCTTCTCTCTTCGTGTGTCTGTCTGTCTCTCAACTTGGTGTCTGTTCATTTATTCATGCTCCTTTCTCTCTTCGTGTGTCTGTCTGTCTCTGTAGTCAGCTGCTGCATGACTTTTACTCCTGCATCCCTCCTGAGAAGCTGCACAAACAGAAGGTGACCTCCATGACCGAGATAGTGAGCAGCCAACTCTTCCAGAGACAAGGTGTGCATTCCTTTCTATTCTCCCCACTTAGCACCAGACTAACAGCTCATCCAACGGTGGAGCGGTGTGAAGAACTAATAGCACATGTGGCCAGCATCAAACGAGGGAAATCCATTTTGTGTGAAATCCTGCCGAGCATTAGTTGCTTTTCACTTAAAGGTTGAGCTCACATTAAAAAGGTCTGTTATCCTGCGACCATTTCTCAGCGGGCTGACAGCTGCTCCCAGCGTGCTCTGGCTGTTCTTTACTCTAAAGGATTTGTCCTTATGCAGCACGGTGGATGAAAGTGTGCTGCTAATATAGAGCGAGCGTAATGTTCAATCCCCTGTTGGGCAATGGAGTGAAGCACCGCGAATAAAAGCATCGGTTAACTGCTTAAAGGGCATAATGGAGTTTATACATTTATGTTTTACATTAGGTTCTAGGGTTTATAGTCATCATAAAATCAAAGTTAAATTTAGCAACGCTGCCGAGAACGGACGTCTGAAATGTATTACACAACCACAATAGGTTTTATAAACGTTACCCTGATTTACTTTATATTGAGTTTTTAATTGCGACTGTTTACCACCGTAGTTATTTAACTGAAGCAAATGTAAATATATTTTTTCTTTGCCATAAAACTGAATAATCTCGTGTATGGAACAAATTTCAGTGAACCAGCCTTTTCTGTGTAGTTAAGATGCTATAACTAGGAAAAGATTCAAATTCTTGTACTATAGGCTAACGCATGGGTGTCAAACTCCTGGCTTGGGGGCAATTTCTGGCCCAGGAAGCCCCTTCATATGGCCCCAAACTAGTTGCTTATGATGACACTTGATATAAAAATCCATAACAAATTCATATTTAGAAGATATTACACAAAACTACTTTTTCTAAAATATCTGTGCCCTCTGATGTTAGTACAGTGGCAGCTGCGGCCCCCGGCTCATTTACCTCTGAGTCCCCTGAGCTAAAGTGTGACACAGTCAACTTTCCCAAGGGTAAAACAGAATAAAAACATTTTTTTGCACCTGTCCTTTCTGACAGAGTGCAGGGATTTACACAAAACACTGCCCAGGGTGGTCGGGGTCAGCTCAGGTACTAGGTTTTGTTTTTATTATGATGAGGGACTGTTTAGCATAAAATGAGCATTCACCAAAGGCTTGGTGTCCTAGCATTAGAAAGATTTGTGCTGTCTCCAGTAAAAAAAAATATTCAGGAAAGTCAGAAGAATTTAAAACGGAAACACAAAGTTCTTCTTCTCTGGTTTGTTTAATTCCATTACTCGATTTCAGACTTCAGTTTTATCAGCCACTCAATGGTGCTAGTCCTTCTGTCTTACAGTAAGTAGATCAGCAGTTCGACCTCCGGTGGTAACTAATGGAGTTTGCTTGTTCTCTTTTATATTTACACTGTTTTAAGTCTGGAAAAACACAAGATTTAGTTGTTTTTTTAGTTGTTTTTTTTCTGTCTAAATTGACTATATCTATGTCTCCTGCCTGGTGACTGCTGGGATTATCTCCATCATTGAACACATCAGCTTCTGTTGCTGAAGCCTTTAACCAGTGGTGCTGCGTTCACCAACCCTTGGAAATTCAAATCATCATAGTGCAGAAAACCAGCTTATTACAATCAGTGCAGGTGGAAATACACACTGATCTGTCAAAGGTCAGGTCAAGGTCAAGTCCCGCCACTTATTGACATGAGCAGCTGCGTACCAAAAACGACGTGACATTTTTCCGACGGGTCGATCGTCTTTTGTCCTTGCGAACTTGAACTTTCCAGTGAAAGTATCGTCCGTTTTGAAAGACAAACGTGCAGAACGGTTGGGTTTAATGCACATTAACACAACAGCTGAGAGCTGCTGTCTATAAAAGCCGAACAGCCAAAGTCAACTGTCGACCAAATCTAATGTCTGACAGATGAAGTGTTTGTTGACAACTGCTGCTGTTACTGCGTCACTTTTACCTCTATGACTAATTAAATTTCAAACCTATTTTCAGCAGTTATGGCCAGGCACACATTAGCTGCTCTGTAGAGCACCACACACTGATGACAACACGCCCTCCACCAATCTGACTCCAACCTCAGCCTCTGTTGAGCCCCATTATGTCTGTCTAATTTGTTTGGAGTGGGCTGATAAGTGGCAGTTTGGACCACAGGGTGATGGATGGAGTGGGCTCATGTCGGGGTACTGTAATACAGACGTGATCAGGAGGCCGGTAATTGGGCTCCTCAAGTACATATTGAGGACTTGGAAGGGGCCGGTGAGTGAAGGCGGTCGAGCAAATTGGATTTGAGGCTGCCCGTTTGTTAATGTCAGTACGATTGCCCCACGTGTGCATGATTGCATTCTTGTACACAACCGGAGGGGCACATTTGTGTGCGTTTGTTTCAGAATGACTGATGACACTGTATCTCGGAGTGAGTGTGTTTGTGTATTTCGGTGTTTGTGCGCCGGTGCGTGCTGCCGAGTGCAGAGGTGTGTGCAGTAGTCGGGATGTTATTTTTGCCTGGTGTAGCGATTAGGCCTGCTCATCCGTCAATCGCTGCCAAGCGAGTCAGTAGCCGGCACAGGATGCAGTCCTTTGTTATTGATCCCGGCTCCAGTGATTGATTCCCCGGGGCCTGAAGGGACAGACTGGGCCCTGTGGCCGACTGTCACAACAACACTCTGAGTGGCGCTTGTTTGCAGGAAAAGATGGAGTGTGGGTGGGGTATATCAAATTTTATATGAACATTTTTCTGAAGTTATTTACCTTATTTTTTGTATTATTGTATAAGTATGAATTATCAATCATTTTCCCACATTAACTAGAACGAGCCCACAAAGTTCATTTTCCTCAGGTTGCCCCTAAACAAAACAACAAACCGTGATTGAATACTTACATATACAGAAGCAGAGAAATGAATGGTAAAATGAATAAATGAAAAAAAGGAAACCCAGATAGAGGCGTCTCTCGAGTCCATTGACATTCTTTGGTTTCGCCAAGCTCCTGCTCGCTCCGCCAGCGAGCGAGTGAGGAGGAGAGTTTATTTATTTATTTATTTATCTTTATTGATACAGGTGTCCATTTCACTTCCCGTCACACCTCGACCAAAATGAGGGCTGACACTCGGACTAATTGAGATGTATTTTAGCATGGGGATGCTAATCAAAGGTCCTGTGAGCTGAGGTGCCAATCGTCCAGGAGGCTGAAATATGCAGTGCAGCTAAATTACATATTTATAATGGCTAATGGCCCCCGGTGTCCTATCAGTGCACTGCAATCCATATTTAATATCCCTTCCTGTCTGTCTGACTCTCAGAGGAAAATGTCGAGCAGCTGACAGTGTGGCAGAGGTTAGGTGCTGAGGGACACGAGGGATCGTCTGCTTCCCCGTTTGACAGTTGAGAATGAACAAACTCGCACATCATTAATATGTGCCGTTCGCACCGGAGTCATAGGTGTCAATACAAAATAAATAATAAAAAAAGATGTCAAATAGGAAAACACGTGTATTTCATTCATATACATTTGTATCCTGCTGTTCGACTCCTTCTTGCTGGAGATACAAACTGTAAGGTCACTAATGAGCACAATCATTTTTACTTTTTTTTTTTATTATGACCTCATGGTTTCAGGGCTGTGGACAGGGACCCAGACCAGGCCCACACCAACATAATCACACCTGCCTAACGTCCTTGGGTTTGCTGGTTCAGAACTAACATCTGGTCATTTCTGTCTTCAGGCGGTGGAAAAGAAGTTGTGCCAAAAAGTTGATGCAGTAAATCAGGGATTTAAATTGACCATTATATTAGTACAAAATGTGATGATTATGTTGATGATCGTGTCATTTCCTCTGCTCTAATCTGCAGAGATGTAGCAGTGGATACACTGCAGTAATGTAATATATTGTAATGCTAAACATTCTGTTTTAATACCAGCTCAGCCTGACAATATGATAATAGTGTGTCAGTATGTCTGTGCAGCCGTCTGTTAATATTTAATTTCACTTTAATCATACAGTCTCCAACTTATAGAACAGCAGCCATTACAGTGTGCAGTGTATACAGTGAGTGAATGGAAGGTGAATGAGTCCTCTGTTTGTTGTAATGCTACACCTCTCGCTATGTTTCACCAAAAATAGCCTCATTATAAATCACACGACCAAGTCACCTCCCCTCCAACTTCCTGCTGTAACCTAGGTGTTAGAACAGGGTGTCAAGGGTCTTATCACCCTCCCCTAGGTTACAGCAGGGTGTCAAGGGTCTTATCACCCTCCCCTCCCTCCGACCCTCCCGTTAGACTTCTTTTTTTTGTTTAATCATCAGCATTCAGAGACTGAAGTCTAATGTAGTGAGGGATAATAGACTGACGTGTCGCCCTGGTGTCTCTGAAATAACAAACCATATGAAACCCCTTTCTTCTTCTTTTTTGTCCGTCACATGATCTCACATTGTTTTGTTGATAACACACCAATCACGTCACAAACATCAGCTCAGATCACACTTTCTATTTTTACCAGCGGTTGTTGGAGGTGCTGACAGCGGCACCATATTTATTTTTAGTGTGATTCACTCTGATAAAGAGGGAAATTCCGAGTGTTAACTCCTGACACAGAAGTCGTTCTTAAAGGTCGTAGACAAGGGGTGTCAAACATACTGCTCACGGGCCAAAACTGGTCCGTTCAGGTGTTCAATATGGCCCGCTTGATGCATGAGGAAAGTGAAAGAATGAACAAACACTGCGTGTTAGTGATGGGTTTTTTTTTCTTCAAATATTGCATTAAATACAAATGTGTTTCTAATA